GTAAGATGGCCAGGATTTCAGGGAGCTGAAGTCTAAAATATCTAGAGGAACAGAATTTAAGAAACACCATTTTAGACCGTTATCTAAAAATGGTGGATGGTGTAATCACTTCATTGTCTAAAAGATTAGACTATGTTATAATTATGAGAAAAGCAGAAATTGCCTCTTCCAGGCAATGATTCATGGATTTTATGCAGAGAAGGAATTGTGAAACTCCTACTGTCTCACACTTGAATGAATCACATATCAACTGATGTATGTTAATAAAATACCTCTGAAGATCCTACAGAATCAAGGATTAAGGAATACCATGACGAGGAATACCATGACAGATTGTGTAAGTATCTTCATCCACTTGACAAATATAAACCTGCTCTGTGTTGTTTTTGCTCATTCTGAAGACAATTGGTTCTTTATTATCAGTATCTTTCAAACTTTTGACACAAATACCTCTGGAGAAACAAGGCACAAACTATCAAGTAACTACTTTATGCATCACACAGTTGACTTGAAATATTTCTGAATTAACTGAAGAAGATGCTAATTCTGTCTTGTTTCATAACAGCTATAATTATGTTATGATTTTAAAACTATATAAAGATAGGTTGCAATCTTGTATTGTCCACATAGCTAGCCATTCAATATCTGCTCGGCCTTCCGAAAAGTTGCTGCAGCTCTCATCAAACCATTCTGTGTTGGGAAAGAGCAGACCAGGATCGGAAAAGTGTCTGGCTATGTCCCTGTATTCAGTCGGGAAATGATTACATCCTCCACTGAGCTCCACTGGGATCCTACAGAGCCTCAGTGTATGTAATTATTTCATATCTGGCTATAGGAACATAGGAACATTGACAGACACTTCTCTAATTTCTCATGCATTTTCAATAGGCATAGAATGCCTTTGGGAGGCTACAGCGATTGTATAGTAGGTCTGGGTGTGGGAAAACTTTATGTAGTGCATCTTGAAGAAGGGAGAACCAACCTCTGCATTAACCAAAAAGAGAAATATGTAGATAAGCGAGATGTAAACCTTCATATTCCAGCAACAGCCAAGGGAAGACAGCTAGAATAATGCTGCTTACAACTAAAACTATTTATTCATTTCTGATGGATTTTGATGGATTCTACAAGTTAAGACTTAAAATGACAAAGTATATTATTAGCACTGAGGAGGAAAATACTTAGGCTGACTTTTTCTTATATAGAACTGGGCAAGAGTTGCACATACAATGCCCCAAAAACAATTATGCAGGAAAATCCTAAAATAACCAAGTCTGTGTTGTGTGCCTGAATTAACCCACAATCTTGATAAAACTGCTAGCATTGCAACAATGACAAAAGGAATAGTTTCAATATGGTACTGTGCAAAACTATAATCATTCTGCATTTAACCATGTTTAAAACAAGGGAGATTACGGGGAGAAAGGTGATCAATGAAAGATAACAAAGGAGAGATCAGGGAATCAGGACCTACAGGACTAAGGGTAAGGCTTAATATAGTCCTTTGTTTTTGCATTACAGAACATATCATTTATGTCACTATTTTTGACCTTTCGGGAGCCAACTGTGAGATGGGTCTTAGTGTAAGTACTTCTCTATGTGGGTTTCCTCCCCCCCCCCCCCCGGCCTGTTCTGATCAGCTGACATTGGAAAATGCTAATAATTTTCAATAAAACTTCAAATCTTCCAAATTTGCGATATTTCATACATTTGGCCTTTTGTGATCAGCCGGCATTGGAACACGCTCACAGTTTCAATAAAAGTTGAAGTCTTTAAAACTTGCCAAACTTCATGCATTTGGCCTTTTGTGATCAGCTGGCATTGGAACACGCTCATAGTTTCAATAAAAGTTGAAGTCTTCCAAATTTGCCAAACTTCATACATTTTTTTTCATGTCAGGAGCAACTTGATACTGTGGCACAGTGGGTTAAACCCTTGTGCCAGCAGGACCAACAGATTGCAGGTTCGAATCTGGGGAGAGCGCAGATGAGCTCCCTCTGTGGTAATAACAGATGGGCAAGCAGATGAACGTGACCTAAACTCTGAAGTGGTTGTGAAGGACGCTCATGCAAACAACATAGAAATATTTGTTAATCCAGAGGTTAAAAAAAAAACGATCCCAATTTTTACAATTTTCTTGAAGATATGTCTCATTGCTTCAAATCCAGACAGTGAGCACATCTAACAGATACATGATTTCATAGCTCTACCAGGTAAGTTTAATTTGCCACTACAAAAGACTTTACATAGTTTGGGGAATATGTTAAAGATCACTATATGGTACTGTTTCTTGGGGCTCTTGTAGACAGCACAGTCAGTGAAATTATGGGGGAATTTAACAAGTGCCAAAAGATGTACATACGTTTGTTTTTCTATACTGCATTCTCCCTTGAAACCCTGCCCTTACACAAAAAGAACTATACAGCAGGCCCTTGGTATCTGCTGAAGTTTGGTCCTGGGACCCCACCCCAGTGGATGCTCCAAGTTTCATTATATACAGTGGTCCTTATATAAAGTTGTACATTCAAAGCTTGCTTTTTGAATATTTCCAAACTATGGAAGCTTGAATCTCTGAATATGGAGTACAATGACTGTACAAGCTAAAGTTGATCTGCAGTCATTAGATCTTCTGAAAATGATGTGCATTTATATTGTTCTTATTTGGAAATGCTCCCGTAATTTAATCTGTACAGATTTTACACAAAAACAATGATTACTTCTGGTGCATTCTAGGAGATTATTGTGATGGTCTCACGGGCAGAATAACAACAAATGTCTTCAGGTAAAGCTGGTGTTTGTTCAGTTCTCATTGTCTATTTGAGCAAATGACAGAAAGACTAATCCAAAATAATAAAAGGGAGGCTCTGGTTTAAATGATGTGGAGCTCAGGGTCATAATCTTTTCAAAAAAATAGAACTAAGGTATTTGCCCTTCAGATCTTGCGTAAGTAAAGGGATAAGGAAGATTGATAATTTAAAAACTACCAAGAAATTTAATAGCAATTTCTCATATTTAGCATATGATCCCTGAAAATAAATAATAAGCCTGATTTTATCTCCTGCATATCTGGATAGGGCAGATATCATGGAGAATTATTTTCAATCAATATGCTGAGCTAGATAGATCAAATATCATATTTACTATTCCAATACTTTCTTTAAAAACAAGACTTTACAATCCATCGAACTACAGTGTATGTTGTATCTCCCTTATCTGGAAATCCATAGCCTGAAAATAATTTTATACAAAATGTATCATTTTGTATATTCAGACTGCTATGTGAATGATCTCCATCTTTACACTTACAAGGGGTGTGGGTCTCTGTTGGTACTAACAGACTTCTCAGCAGCTTTCGATACCATCAACCATGGTATCTTTCTGGAATGCCTGGAGGGTTTGGAAATTTGAGGCAATGTGCTGCAGTGGTTCCAGTCATACTTCGCAGGCAGGAGTCAGATGGTGATGCTTGGGGATACCTACTCCTCAAAAAAGCAGCTGTTATGTGGCACCCCACAAGGTGCCATTCTATCCCCAATGCTTTTTAATATTTACACGAAACCACTGGGAGACATCATCTGGAGGTATGGGGCAGGGGTGTTTTCAGTATGCTAATGACACCCAAATATATTTCTCCATGCCTTCCGAAACAACTGTAGATAAGGATAGCGTGTCTCCTCTGAATGAATGAATGAATGAAGAAGGTAATGGGCTGGATGAGGAAAAACAAATTGAGACTGAATCCAGACAAAACAGAAGTGCTTGACATCAAGGTTCTTAATTTGGAGGTGAAGGTGTGTGAACCAGTCCTTGATGGTGTTATACTCCTGATAAGACTGATTGTAGCTTGGGAGTACTCCTGGATCCATCTCTCCAAATGTCAGCCCAGGTAGATGAGACGGCCAGGAGTGCTTACTATCAGCTTCGGCTGATACGCCTGCTGCACCCCTTCCTAGATTTGGAGGATCTAAAGATGAGTGCACCTGAAGGTTGGACTTCTGCAAGGTGTTTTACATTGGGCGATCTTTGCATTAAGTTCAGAAAATCCAGTTGGTTTAAAATACAGCAGTCAGATTGGTTACAGGAACATCCAGGAGTGAGCATATTGCACCTATCCTAAAGTCACCCCACAAGCTGCCAATTAGTGTCCGTGCTAAGCACACAATGTTGGTTTTGACATTTAAAGCCCTACATGGTTTGGGTCCAGGTTACCTACAGGATAGCCTTCACCTGTACAATCTGCCCTGAACACTGAGTTCTTCTCGGGGGCAGCTACTCAGGCGCCCCAAGACTGTGGAACCCTGATAGAAGCATCCAACAGTTAAATTAGCTGTTAAATTACCATCTAAAGACCCAACCAGTTTTAATCATGAATTTTAAACTTGCATTTTATGTTTAATCTTTGTTCTGCATATTTTAATATGCATATTGTAGAAATATGTTTTAATATGGTATGTGTATTTTGTAGAATGTTTTTAGTTGATTGTGTGTTTTTAGTGATGTTGTAACCCGCCTTGGAAGAGGTAGGTAAGAAATAAAATACTACTACTACTTCTATTATTATTATTATTATTATTATTATTAATAATAATAATAATAATAAAGACAAGGTTGGTGGGATCTCAAGGAACCCAGTCCCAGCTCCCTCAAGATTAATAGATGAATGGATAAAAAAGATGTGCCATATCAGATTTTTCAGGACATTATTTCCACGTTGCATTTTGTTCCCTTTTCATTTGTATTTAAAGGACAACAAGTTAAATCCCTGGTATATTCACTTAAATGATTAGAGGTAGCAGGACTGCGCCTGTAGAATTGCCCCATCAAAATATAGTAGCCTATCTTGGCTAGTTGAGACAATTATCCATCAGATCCTTAAATTCATCTTATGTAAGAAATGTTGCACAGAAAGAAATACACATAGTATTCATGCATTTAAACTTGACATACCTGATCAATTCCTTGAAGTACATTCACAGCACAGAAAAGTTACAAGGGAGGCATTTTTAAAATTGTGGTAACTTAGTTTTATTGGTGCGTTTCTCAATTAACTTAATTGCAAAAATCAGTGAAAGGCACTTGAAATATGTTATTTCAAAAACATTCATCTGTTGATCATATGAACTAACAAGTTAACCACTATTTGTTGTGAAAAAAGAACATTTCTCTTGCCATGTAAAAGTCTCTTTACACTAACATACCGCTCAGCAGTTAATTTGTCATTTCAAATGCATTTTCGGTACGATTTATATACATTGAAGGGAAGTCCCTTCATAAAATGACTGTTCACAACATTTTCTCTGTTAGCAGATGACCAAGGCAAAGCTTTATAACCTGCTGAATATGATATAATTTTAAGATATAAAGTACAAAGATGGGACCAGTTTATACTTTGTCCACAGTATAATCTCATTTCAACTTTATGATTCCACTCAAATCTGATGTAATAGAGAAAAACGTTAAATAGAATACAAAATCTAAATGATCAGAATTGGTGACAGGTTACTTTTTTTGTACTGCAACTTCCAGAATCTTCCAGCCAGTATTGTCAGTAATGGCCGAGGGATTCTGAGGACCATAGAACAAACAAACAAAAATTTAACTTTCACAAGCTCTGCTAACAATGAAGTACTTTCAACACTGCTGATGATATCAAACGTTCTAAGAAAAGTTTTGAAAAGAAACTTTTAAGTGATTTAAAATTAAATGGATTGTGGAATGTTTTGCAGGCTATAGACGAGAACATTACATGTTGTACCAAAGAAAACAAAAGCAATACAGATCAAGATTAAAGTTTAGTACAGCAATTAATGCCAATCTACAAGGTAGAATCCTGGGGCATAAACAATGCTTGAAAAACATTTTGTGCCTTCAGACAGTAAAAAAGTAGCAGGATAAATCAGGGAACAGAGAAAGGGACATCTTTACTAAAAGGATTGGGTAAACCATATAATATTAAGAATGCTATTTGAGGCCTCTGTGAGTTTCTGCTACTCAACATGGATAATAATTTCCTGGGAAGGGCGAACAGTCTGACCCAATATAAGGCAGTTTCCTATAATACTGAATTTATTTATTTCCTATATTTATACCCCGCCCTTCTCCCCCAGAAGAGGCAATTGTTCAGGATTGAGATCAAGGATCCAGAATCACAACGTTTCACAGCTATACTATGCAAAAAAGGTGTCCTTTCACTTTCTCCTGGAAAATCATTCTATAGGCGAAATCCATCTTCCATCTTTTCCCGCATACCTACACTTTCAATTTTCCCCTCCTTTCTCTCAGCTCTCATTTTGTGCATCTGGAACGTTGGAGAATTTGTTTTATGTTACATATGTTAATATATGGTAAAATACCTCAAGACTTGTATGTTAACATACTTCAAGAGATCACCAAGTATACAGAAGTCAGTTAACTAGGGATGGCTCCATTTTGCTCCTTAAGAATCATGATGGAATAATAATAGCCATTAGTTCTTGAAGCTAAAAAAAAAAACCCTTGGAATAGTTTTCTCTCAGATTACCAACAAACTCCACTAAAGCACTACCGAATTTACATCTGGTGCTTTGAGGTAGATAGATGAATGCCACCAAATCCAGAAAGGAAGATGAAATTAGGTTATTAATGAACTAGAGAATATGCTACAGCTGCTTCTGAGTTGACTTTTCTTACAGAAATCCCCTTCAACATTATTGGGTTTCTATTTGTGACCATCCCATGTTACTTTGTAGCCTCTTTCACATTTTTACTGTCTAAAACCAAGGATTGATGGAATATTGCACAATGCTTTTGGACTGACAAACCACTCTGTTTGAGAGCACTCTACACTTGAGATTGGCATCAACTTGCTTAAACGCCATAAAATCCGCAAGTAAGCAAAATAGCTTAATATTAGTCTTGGCAGCACTTCTGTTATAAGAGTTGTTTGAGAATTGGGCAGATCTGTCATTACTTTTGTACTCATGATTGATCTAAAAGTGAAGCTACAACTCGGCATTGGTTTAATTTAAGAGCAAACAATCTGTCCTCTTCTGTTAATTCCAGTTTTCAGGACCCTTCCACAGGCCTAATTTACCAAAATAAATAAGAAAACCTCTAGTTCCTTCTTCTGTGAGTTACATACTACTTATCTATAATGAAATATTGAGGGTGTACTGCACATTCATTAAGAGCAACCAACAATGTTATCACATGTTTTAATGTAAGAAAGGCGGAAGCACATGTGTAACTATAAAATAAACCACGCTGAAAGACACAAAGTATGAACCAGTATCTGCTCTTGTTTGAAGAAGAAACTGCAATGAGTTTAGTAAGTTTGACAAATGTTTTGTTTAACTAGTACACACCATCAAATACATAATCTCAATGTAAACATCAATATGATGAACTCAAGATAGAAAGCACACCCTGGTTGATCACTTTCAACATAACAGTTAAGCGGGAGAAAAAAGGTCTGAATATCAAAACGAGAAACTACCAGCCAAACTGGCACATAGTACATAATGAGAGGGCATAACTAACACCAAAAATTGCACTGTGGTTTGTATTTAAGCATAAAGTACAGAGCTCCTTCATCTGTTGGCAGAGATCTTTGTTCAAAGTTGGCCTGACAAGTGGGACAATCAAATCCACAGGGAAATAATAATTTAAATGAACCAGGAAATGTCATACAAGAAAGAGGCACGGTATTTAAACTGAAATAAATAATTATAGAAATTAAACGGAAAATTTAAAACACTTGAAGTACTGGACAAGCCACCCACCCTCACTCTCAAGCTTAAACAATACCTATTTGGGTGCAAGTCCACTTTTATAAAAACAAAAATGGCTTATTGGTTTCTTTTTTTTTTTTAAAAGAGTGAGTCATTAGAACCAAACTGACATGTGTGAGCTATGAATGTTCTACTACCTATAATATAATCACAGTAACTAATTTTCCAGTAACAATGTAAGACAGTTCATTTAAATAATTTTTATTTTGTTTATCCATTGCACATATAGGCAACCTTTAGCCTGTTGAGGCATTCAAGTGGGCTGTGATGCTCATGGAGCTGCACCCACAACTTGACAGAGCAGCTATTTTTACTAGCAAATCCAGAATAGCAATCTTGATTAGAATTGCTGGGGAATGGGAACGCATTATCCCCACCCCCATTATCTCAATGTAGCAGATGTTCTTGTTTTTTTGTTTTGTTTCAGATCACTGGGAGATGGAAGGAGCCCTTGCCCCTTCAATCCCACCAATTCCAGTGGGTGGGAAGGGATTTAAACTTCTCTGTTACTGCAAAATGAGTTGGGTAAATGTGGGTCTGTATGCATGAAGGGGTGTAAGCCCACCAGGTGGCACCACATATAGGCCCTGGGAGTCAAAGATTACTCCCCTCTCATCTAGTAAGTCGGCACTCATTCTATGAATACATTCAGCCTGTTCACCCACATTTCCACTAACTTTCTGTCCGGCTGAACTCTACTGACTTTCTCTGCAGCAAGAAAATAATCTGTATAACATGTGAAACTAAAACTCCAAATATTCCTAGTTTTACAAACGCAGGTGTAAATGCAACCCATGTGCAGGATTACTTGACAAATGACTGTGTAGGACAAAGCTTTTCCTTAAACATACATTCACACTAGAATCTTTTATGTAAATATTTTTTAAAAAACACATTCATACTTGAATCTCTTTAGCAAAGTATCTGTCAGCATCTAATGTACTGGGTCTAGTAACAGAAGGCATTCACATGATATAAGGACTAAAATACTGCATGTTTACAAGTGACTCTAGATAACAAAGTTTGTTTCAATGTAAGGTTTGCATGTATACATTACTGAAACAAAATTAAGGAGTTATGATGCTTAATACAAAACTTTATGGATTTGACCTTGCAGTCTCATGGCATATGAAACATCCTTCCCACCAGGACGATTAGAAAAGATGCTGCAGTAGGCAGCCATTTGAAGGAACACTTTTAACATACATATATGCTTAGCAAACCCATCCAGTCATTGTAAGCTAAATGTATTTCTTTACCATCTCATAAGGCTTCTTCAGTGCACTGTAAATGATTTTATCCAGAGGCTTTCAGAGGATTTCCTACTTCCGCTTTGGATTTCACATCCCCCTTTGCTGCTTCACTTAAATTTTGCATTCCTGGGTCCTTAGGAGAGTCAGAGTTGTATCTAAACTGGTAGCCATAAGGACGGAGGTGATAAATCAAATATTCCAAATGATACATAGTAGTGGCATCAACATAGTGGAATGAAACTGCCAAGTCGGAACAGCAGCCAGGACCCTAACAGGAAAAGAAAACAGTATGATTAAAAGATGAGATAAATAAATATCACATCCTGAATCAAATTGAATGTTAGTAATAAGGAGCTTAGGGGTATTAAACACCAATATAATATTTAAATAGCATGTGATCCATAAAAAACAGGAAGAATAAGTTTTACTGCGAAAGATAGTCTGATTCAAAAGCTCCAAAAGCACAAGATGCTATAGAAGTGAAATCCAGTTAAAGCACATGTACATTTGGGGAGCATGGAAAATACATCAATCTCTTCCCCTGATTTTATGTGGCAAAATGATTAGAACATTTCCAAGAGGAAGACAACTATAACAGATGACCCCTGCATGCAGGAAGTCTCTCACACATAAACTAGGTATGTGAGCAACACCTTTTTATCTCCAGCCATCATGGCCACTGCCTGAAACAAGTGGTAGTCCAATAATCTTCCAGGTTAACAGAAGTAGGAAAACCTGGATCAAGTTGAGGAAAACAGGCCAAAAGCTGTCTAAAATCAGCTTCACAATTTGAATTTGTGTTACAGAGGAGTCTTGCTTATCCAACATAAACGGGCCGGCAGAATGTTGGATAAGCGAAAATGTTGGATAATAAGGCGGGATTAAGGGAAAGCCTATTAAATGTCAAATTATGTTATGATTTTACAAATTAAGCACCAAAATATCATGTTTTACAACAAATCAATAGAAAAAGCAGTTCAATCCACAGTAACATTATGTAGTAATTACTGTATTTATGAATTTAGCACCAAAACATCGCAATGCATTGAAGAAATTGTAGATCTGGGTGGGAGGCAGACTGTGTTGGAGAATACAGAACGTTGGATGAGCGAAGGTTGGATAAAAGAGACTACTGTACTATGAAACTAAGCAGAACAAAAATGCGAAGCAAAGCACTAAACACACACACGAGAGAGAGAGAAAGTTCTCAGGAAGGATCTCTGCAACACATCTATCAAGTGGCTTGTACTGGACTAGAGAACCAAAGTCTCAACAGGATAAAGACAGCTAGAGATGTCTATATGCATATACAGAATTAAATTGTTAATTTGTCTAGTGGTTGGTTTAGTACGTAAAAATATTATATACCATAATAGCTCCATTGATAATATAAAAACCAAACTTACCTCCACAGGAGGGTAATAGTTATAATTCCAATACCAAAAATTTCTGGGTAGGTATCCTTTGATTAAATGATGCTCGGGCACAAATGGGTGAAAGGTTTCCTTGCCACTCGTATCCCTGGAATCTCCAGCTTCTACATTAATGCTTTCCATGCATTTGCCTAATGCCAAGTCTTCAATGGAAGAGCTATGAGTACATTTGTTGTTTTTAAAAGCATCCACAAATCGCTTCAGAGCTTCTTTGCTCAACACATAGCCTGCACCTCCACTCATATAGCCCTGTTTCACAAATGGCTTAAACCTTCTTCCAAAATAAATTGGTCTTTCAGAGCTGTATTTTGAAAGGAGCCATCTCAGGTTGTCCAGAGCAACATAGGTGTCATCATCTGCTTTCATGAACCAATCTGCTTCATCAAGATAATGATCATGCACATACTGGAAAGCTTTAATGGTTTTCCAATACAACTGGTCTCTGCCTTCTTTGGTTTCTAATCCAACTGTTGGAAAGTCTTTGTTTTCTTCAGAGCTCATAAACAGCACCTTGTTGCAATGCTGAGCCCACGTAGCTTTGACATGTTTAGCTTTTGTTTCCAAATTCTGGGGACCAGTCATCACCCAACAAAGGATTCTTACCTTCTGGTACAGTTCTTCAGCAACCTTCTTGTTTTCATCTGGGAAAGTTAAATTCCAAAATGCCATCAGTGAATATAATCTTCAAACAATTATAGTCATACAGATCTATGATTAGTTGTCAACAACTATGAAATCTGACCGAGCAGTTCTTATGTTACAGTAAGATATACTGAGCACCTATACCTATTCCTAAATAAATTTACTGGTCACTTAAAATAAATAAAGAGAGGGAACACTTTAGATCTTCCAAAGCTGACACTTCCTGATGTTTTGGAGCCCTAGAAGCCTCCTGAAGCCCTACGATTTCTTGCTCTCCCAAATTAGTTCAGAAACCATTGTGAAATTCTGTGATTTTGTCCCTTCCACCAAGCCCCAACATAACAAGAGAAAAGAGAGGCTGAAAATTGACCAACATTGAAAAAGCAATGTAGCCTGCAGAAGTGGGAAGCACAGGATGAAAAGTGGTCTTCACAGTAGGTACCCACCACTGCATACATGTTGTGAATTTCTATAATTTACGATATGTGCTATTATCTTCAAATCACTTCCGTATAAAGTTTAGTAAACCATGAGATCAAGACATTACCTGTTTTTATTTTAGCTGTTAAGGTTACTTAGCTATACTCAATCATGTTAAACAGGTTTAGAAAACTATTTTACATTTATAGATGCTATTTTAAGACCTTTGAGTGTCAAAACTGGGAGGGGAAAATGTCCAGTTTTAAGTTCAACTAAAGTAAACTCACTGAAATTTATTAATTCTGTTACTTAAGGCCAACAGCTCTTATCCATTTAAATTGATCTCTTCTAGTTGGAACTTACTTTAGAGTAACACTGGATTTAGCCCTATGATTTTAGAAGCCAGGATCACCAGCAAATAACCAGTAGTGTCAAAACTACTAAGATAAACATACACAATAAGACTGAAATGCTATACCCATTTACTAGGAAATAATCTCATTGCACTTCAAAGGACTTCTGAGTAGGCATAAATAGGATTGTAAAGCAATAATGCAAACCTACTTTCTTAAATGCAAACTGAAACTACCCCAAACTCTTTATTTGTTCATTAAACATATTTTAATGTTATAAAACAATATCATGAAAATGTTTTCCTCATATGTTTTCAAGACACGAGGAATGCAAGTATAGTACATATTACTAAAAAATGACAGGATTGTATATGATGAATAAAAATGATAAACTCTTCACAGAGTGCAAAAACATACCTTGATGTTGTCCAGTATCTGCATTGAAATTCATTTGTCCTTTCAGATTATTTCTTTCATCACTATTCAAGTGATGTCCATGAGGATCATTGTAAACAATGTGAGGCTCAATCTTAATTTGTTCTTCAAATACTAAGCTAAATAGCAGATAACATATGAAAAACCCAATTGCAGATCCAAAAGTAAAGGTCAGAAGATTCAATATGGATTTTGGAGGGGCCATTTCCTGAAGAGATTATCTGCTGAGAGAGAAAATATATGACAATGGACGAACACATCTCATCCTTGATTTCATTTAATCTATGGCTTTACGTCTCAACCTTCCTTCAAATATGGATTGAAGGCCTAAGCCTGCATTTTCGACCCTAATATACCTTAGGATTTTAATATATATCTGCATTTCTAAGAAAAATTCTCTACTTCACATAGTATTTTACTGGCCTAAACAGTAATCCAGCAATCTACTACAAAGAGTACCTTTCTAGCAATGATTAAAAAAGCCCTATCTTCTTGGATTTTGAATGGTTCTGGAACACAGGAAATTAAAAAGCAGGGCAATGCAAAAGTAAGGTGTCCATATTGCATCATCAGCAAATGTGTATGGATCTGGTTGGAGATGCCAAAAGATACCACATACAGCCAGATATTTATAAATAAAGTGGAACTGAATTTGCCAAATTTCACTTCCTAATGCAAAGAAGATCCTGTCTCATTAGCTTATAGGGAGGAGATGAAAATGTATGTGTGTGCAGGGTATTTATTTCCAAATATTTAGGACTCAGATTAAGGGCAATGAAAATCACTATTTAAATATTAAAGTCTCTATTAAAATAGAATGCAATGTGACCTCAATAGTATTAAAACACTTCAAGAATGAAGGCATGAATACATTTAATAACCCTATAATAAGTACATTTCTGTCCTTCAAATATATATGCATAGTGACAACAACAGAGAGGTGCAAAATTGCTTTTAAGAGCATATACTAATGTATGTTTGCTCAAGCATAAGTCCCATTACTTTCAATGGTGCTTATTCTCAAGACAACATGTCTGTGAAACCTACCTAATAGAACAATTTCACACATATTTATTTGAAATTAATGTAAACTGTGCTGGATTCACTGGAGTCTAAACATTCAGTGTAAAGATTTGGCAGAGCGACTCATTCTAGTTTACCAAGTGTCACTCCAAAATAATTCTCTGATCCCAGTTTGGCCGATTCTTGATGCAGCACCGAAGAGATCCCTGTTCTCTGGTTTTTGACAAATAATTGCTTCTTTTCACCGCCTCACATAGTATGGAACCAGAAGCATTTCGGATTTCTGAGTTTTTGGATTTTTGAATATGTATATAATGTGATATCTTGGGAGTTGAAATCCAAGTCTAAACACACAATTCATTTTTGATTCATATACACCTTATAGACACAGCCTGAAGGTAATTTAATAGACAATATTTTTAATAATTATGTCCATGAAACAATGCTTCAGTGCACCAAATTATCTGAACCACTATCTGAACCATTCAGATGGGTAATTCTGGATTTTGGAGTATTTCAAACCTGTAGAATCATAGAAATGGAAGTCCAAGTCAAGTCATGAAATTCATATACAGATTGAGTATCCCTTATCCAAAAGGCTTGGGAACATACATATTTTGGATTTTGGACTGTGAGTTGTAGCTTGGTGAGGCAACAGCACTTTTTGGCAGAGAAGGCTAAAGACCTTGCAAAACTACAGCTGCCATGATTCCTTAGTAATGAGCCATGGAAGTTCAAATGATGTCAAACAGCAATCATTCTACTATGCAGATGCACCCTAAGGCTGAGACCACCAGTACTCTTGAGTAAGCCAATCCCATCAATCATTCCATAGCACTGAGGCTGGGAGTTGTCATTTTAAGTCTTCAAAGCCTTCCATGCAGAAAAGTGCTCACCAAATTTAAACTCCTGGGCTACTTCCACATAGTTGAATAAAACCCCACATTATCTGCTGTGAACTGGAATACATGGCAGTGTGGACTCAAGATAACCCAGTTCAAAGCAGATATTGTGGGATTTTCTGCCTTGATATTCTGAGTTAAACGGCTGTGTGGAATGGCCCCTAGAATTCCATAGCATTGAGCCAGGACAGCTAAAGCGGTGTCAAAGGGCATTATTTCAACAGCGTAGACGTGCCCTAAAGCAAGCTTCGAGCAGAAACCTTACTAGTCAGGGGGACCTGGGTGACTCACCTCTAACCAGTCCCACAGCTCTGAAGCAGGCATGACTAATAAGTCTGAAACTGGATGAAGCCCAGCATTTCCAACCAACCAGAATCAGGCTGCATCTACACTGTAAATTGAACACAGATTGACCCCACTTTAACTGAAAGTGGCTCAATGCTATGAAATCCTGGGATTTGTAGCAGGGTGAAGCACCAGCACTTTTTGCCAGAGAATACTGTAAAGCTGCAACTCTCATGACTCCACAACACTAAGCCCGGGGCAGTTCAGGTGGTGCCAAACTGTAGAAGATACACCAGACATGGGCAAACTTGGGCCCTCCAGGTATTTGGCTGTTAGCAGTTGTAGGAGCTGAAGTCCAAAACATCTGGAGGGCCCAAGTTTGCCCATGCTTTTGGTGTAGAAGACGCACCCTTTGGTGATGACACAAGTCTAACCAGTTTGAAAAGAGCTGGAAGGCCAAGATTTTCTACCCAACCCTGAAACACCCACAAACTTGTGGGTGAGGTGAGGAGGGGTGGCGGGCATCTGCACGGTGGAATGACACCCGGTCTCAATTATATGGGATCCTGGGAGTTGTAGTTTTGTTTTTGGCATTCTTTGGCAGGGAACAACAACTTTATTTGTAACCTGCTCTATCTCCCCAGGGGAACTCAGGCCGGTTTCCAGACAAGGGCATAAGAAATAAATCAAATACATAATCAAATAATACACAAAATAAACATCTATGTGAACTTATCTAACTAACCAAACAAATAAATACTTAGAAACAAATAGGCCTCGTCATCCACATTTAAGTAAAGGTAAAGGTTTCCCCTGATATTAAGTGTAGTCGTGTCCAACTCTGGGAGTGGGGCTCATCTCCATTTCTAAGCCAAAGAGCAGGCATTGTCTGTAGATGCCTCCAAGGTCATGTGGCCAGCATGACTGAATGGAGCGCTGTTACCTTCCCACAGAAGCAGTACCTATTGATCTACTCACATTTGAATGTTTTCAAACTGCTAGGTTGGCAGAAGATGGGGGTAACAGTGTGAGCTGACGCTGTTCCCCAGATTCAAACCGTGGATTCACTTAACCCAGTTCAAAGCAGATGTGAGATTTTCTGCCTTGATATTCTGGGAGAGAGGGCTGTGTGGAAGGGTCCCCAGAATATCAAGGCAGAAAATCCCACAATATGTGCTTTGAACTGGGATATCACTACTTCATCACACTAGAGAATGAATCCACTTTAAATCCCGGTGGGTTACTTGGTAATGTGGGTTGAGTCTACACTGCCATATATCCCAGTTCAAAGCAGATATTATGGGATTTTTCTGCTTTAATGTTCTGGGGGGCCTTCCACACAGCCCTATATTCCAGAATATCAAGGCAGGAAATCCCACATTATCTGAGTGTGGACCCAGGGCCCTTCCACACAGCCCTATATCCCAGAAAATCAAGGCAGAAAATCCCACAATATCTGCTTTGAACTGGGTTATCTGAGTCCACACTGCCATATATCCCAGTTCAAAGCAGATAATGTGGGATTTTATTCAGCTGTGTGGAAGGGGCCCCAGATAAAAAGTAGATATTGTGGGTTATCCTTCCTTGATATTCTGGGATATGGGACTGTGTGGAAGGGGCCCTGGGTTACTTGGTTATGTGGATTGAGTCCACACTACCATATATCCCAGTTCAAAACAGATATTGTGGGATTTTAATCAGTTGTGTGGAAGGGGCTCCAAATAACCCAATTCAAAGTAGATATTGTGGGTTAGCCTGCCTTGATATTCTGGGATATGGGGCTGTGTGGAAGGGCCCTGGGTTACTTGGTTATGTGGAAGAGCCCTGAACCACGGCAGTTGAAGTGGCACCAAACCGCATTAACTCGACAGTGTAGAGTGGCACCCTGAACACATCCGAAGCCCAACAGCAACACTCCCAAAAGAGGCGAATAGGTTTCCCTTTCCTACTGAGAAACACCCCTTTCTTCTCTCCTGCTTCTGAGGCCCCAAACGGGTTATTTCCGTTCCGCGACTTACCTCGGAGAGCAGGCCTCAGAGACTCGGCGTGAGAGACACGGGAAGGAGGAGGAGGATCAGGAGGGGAAGCGGGCCTCGGAAGCGCGGCCCTCTCGCCGCCATCCTCCCTCGGCCTCGGCGGCGGCGGCGACGCCTCCTCTGCGGCGCCTCATTGGGCCCAGGGCTCCGGCCAGGCCGCCCTCCCAGGCCTCGGGGGCCAGAAGGCGGCGCTGGGAGGCCTCCCTTCCCGCCCACACTCTCCCTTTCCCCGCCCCCTTCTCCTCATGACAGGCAGGCCGAGGAGAGGCGGGGTGGGCGAGGGGACTTGGTGCTCCTTCACTGAGGGTGTCTCAGCTTAGGCGAAGGGATCACTTTAGAGCAGGCGTGAGGCAAATGTAGTAGGCCTTCCAGGTGTTTTGGACTTCAACCCACACCATTCCTCACAGCCTCAGGCGTGGGGCAAACTTGGCATGATGCTAAATGTCCTTTGACCAGAAGCTGGCCACTTGGAGGGCCTCTGGTGTCTCTGTGAGATGGTCCTCCATTGTGCATGTGGCAGGGCTCAGGTTGCATTGTTCAGTGTTTCTCAACCTGGGGGTCGGGACCCCTGGGGGGGGGGGTCGCGAGGGGGTGCCAGAGGGGTCGCCAAAGACCATCAGAAAACACAGTATATTCTGTTGATCATGGGGATTCTGTATGGGAAGTTTGGCTGAATTATATCATGGGTGGGCTTCAGTATGCTCTTTGATTGCAGGTGAGCTATAAATCCCAGCAACTACAACTCCCAAATGTCAAGGTCTATTTTCTCCAAACTCCACCAGTGTTCACATTTGGGCATATTGATTATTTGTGCCAARTTTGGTCCAGATCCATCATTGTTTGAGTTCACAGTGCTCTTTGGATRTAGGCRAACTACAGCTCCYAAACTCAAGGTCAATGCCCACCAAACCCTTCCAGTWTTTTCTGTTTCTGTCATGGGAGTTCTGTGTGCCAAATCTGGTTCAATTGCATCTTTGGTGGAGTTCACAATGCTCTTTTAATTTAAATGAACCATAAATCCCAGCAACTACAACTCCCAAATGACAAAATCAATCCCCCCCCCCTCCAACCCCACCAGTATTCAAATTTAGGCGTATTGAGTATTTGTGCTGAATTTGGTCCAGTGAATGAAATATACATTCCACATATTGGATATTTACATTATGATTCATAACTAGCAAAATTACAGGTATGAAGTCGCACAAAAATAATGTTGTGGGTGGGGGTCACCACAACATGAGGAACTGCATTAAGGGGTCGCAGCATTACGAAGGTTGAAAACCAATGTAGTAGTTGGTCTGGTTTGCTCTTCTCCACACTTGCATGACGTGGGCTCCACTTTGTAGCCCCATTTCTTAAGGTTGGCTCTGCATCTTGTGGTGCCAGAACGCAGTCTGTTCAGCACCTTCCAAGACGACCAGTCTTCTCTGCCCAGGAGGGAGTTTCTCATCCAGCATTAGCCACTGTGATGGCATGCCAGGGTAAAAGGAAAACTATGTCTGGCTATTCCCGGTGGCTATCAGTATACCCTCTGATGTTCTTTAAAATAAAGACTCTTGAGACAGGATTAAACTTAACAAAATTAGTTTACTGGAAACAAAAGGCAAAATTAACTTCAGTATAGTACTATAGTACAAACTATAGTAACCATGTGGTATATATGTGCTTGTGCTGTCGCACGCTGGGCCTGTGCATCAGACTGTAAACAGGACATAAATTCTGTGTGCCCAACAGGACGCCGGGGCTGCCTCAGATTAAAGGCCTTTGGATTTCCTTAAAACAGAGTCTCTAGATTGCTCAAAGGTTCAACAAAGTTATTTATTAATGAAAACAAACAGGTACTTCAAGGCTTTCTTAACAGTCTATTGGCTCTCTCTCAATCTTGTCCACAGGGAACAGGCACTATCTTCATCAACTGTATTTTAACGAATGGGGAAATCCTTAACTTCTAATCTGGGCAGTCTCTCTTTGCCTCTGTTGGCGTGGAGCCCCTGCACCCGGTACCAACTGCTTCTGGCTTCCGCAAGTGACCCTTACCAAGCAGAGCTTTGTAGACTTCCAGGGAAAAGGGAGTTCAGGTTTCAGTGATGGCTGACTGAAGTCCCTCAGCAAAGGAGCTGTAAGGCTGTATGATCCTCGACCAAGCTGTGGGCTGTATAACCCCGGCCAAGCTGTGGGCTGTATATCTCCCCGGCCAAGCCATAGAAGATAAAGCTTTCTACAGGAGCTCTTGGTATTATGTCCTGCATGGAAAGCTTCTCTGTGTGGACTGAACCAAAAAGGCTCCTATTCCCTCCAAAAACCCAAAGGAGGCGGGACCAGGGAACCTAACTATAATTGACAGGTGGCTTGCCCTATGATTGCAGCCAAAAGAAGCCACCTATCTGCAGAGTCCCTGAAACTTAGGACTACAACAAACATTCAATGCAAAGCAAACAAAATTAGAGCTCCTGGTGCAGTTGTACCTGCACAGTGCTATTGAATGCCTGTTTGGATTGCCAGGCCAAGGAACCCAGACAATTTCTGGCCTTCTCCTCCAAAACTCTGACACAGAATAAAAAAGGAGGGGAAAGCCCTTCAGACAAGTTCTGAGGCAAAAGGGCTAAACCAACTGAGCCAGGCCTCCATGAGGGTTTTACGCTCCACCCCTAAAACTAAACACAAATGGAAAAGTCCACATGAAAGGGAGAACAAAACAAGGAAATGAAACAGAGGAGGGAAAAAAGCTAGGCCAAGACATCACAGCCACTGATTAAGGTTATAGCCTGCCACTTTTGGACTCTTGCTTGCTGTGTTGTTCCTGCGAGTATCTCTGTAGATCTTTGGAAGTTGTTTTTTCATTTAAGTCGTTGACATGCTGGCTGATATCCAAGCAGATGGGCTGGAGATGTCAATGCCTTGGTCCTTTCATTATTAGCTGCTACTTCCCGATGGATGTCAGGTGGTACAATACCTGCTAAACAGTGTAATTTCTCCAGTGGTGTAGGGAGTAGACATCCTGTGATAATGTGGCATGTCTCATTAAGAGCCACATCCACTGTTTTAACGTGGTGTGATGTATTCCACATTGGGCATGCATATTCAGCAGCAGAGTAGCAAAGTACAAGGGAAGATTCTTCATTGTATCTGGTTGTTATCCCCAGGTTGTATCAGTCAGCTTATGATGTTATGATGATGATAATGATAATAATACTATGTAACACAATTTGATTTTTTTCTGTTCCTGGTTGAAAGTGTGGTTAGGTTACTTACTTTGAAAGCAGTTGTTATATACTTCAGAGATGCTTCATTTTTGTGGCTGTCTCACCTCAGGAACAAGGCAGGAGCTTCTTACTCCATTCGTGACATTGCTTGATCTGAAACCTAAGAGCTTTCTTTCCCTAAATAAGAACAGCAATGCATGAAGGCATTCCACTGGCCTTGAGAAGCCTGTCTGTGCCTGTCTTTCCCAGGCCTCTGTATCCCTTTCCTATTACTTGGTTTGCACCTGGAATTCTTCCCCCACAGGAGCAGTTCTTGATTGTCTAACCCTGCTTCATTGGGTGAACTCATGTCCTCCTCCCTTCTCTGCCTGTCAGCTTCTAAAATAGTTTCATTTTCACACAGAGAATCATAATCTAATTTCAAACCCCCCTTCTTTCTCCCAACCAGGGATCCAACATCCCCTCTGTCTGAGCACCTCCAGAAGCACCAGGCCCTGCACCCACAAACCCATCATCATCATCATCATCATCATCATCATCATCATCACCATCTGGCTGAACTACAACAGTGGCTGCCACAATGGGCCCTTCCAGACAGGCCCTATGTCCCAGGATCTGATCCCAGGTTTTCTGCTTTAAACTGGATTGGAAATTACAATCTTCTTCAAGCCTCTTCTAGTAATGTATTTATAATTCTATTGCTTACTTATAGTATGTATTTCTGATATACAGCTTTCTTTCTTTGCTTTATGTTTTCCTGAGAAGTTTTGGGAGGGGCTGCAGGCTACATTATCCGCTCTGAGACAAGCACAGATTTCTCTAGATCTTGGGACCGCTCTGATTGCAGACTTACAAACATTTGCTGTTTTTTTTTGTAAGAGTTGTTCTGAACGGATGGCACACTATCTCAAATTTATTTATTTATTTATTTACTTCATTTCTATCCCACTCTTCTCACCCCTCAGGGGACTCAGAGCGGCATACATAATATATCTAGACAAAACATCTCATAAGTTGTGTACCTGTGTATGCTGAACACATGAAGGTTGTGAGTAAACCAAATATATATATTTTTAACCAGTCTATTTTGTCTCATGAGTGCATAATATAAAACAAGTCATTTTATGGGAGAGTAGATATACTTTTGGGCACTGAAAAACACTTTTGAAGAACTGCTATTTTTATGCACAGGCATATTCTCTGTTTCCTACCAGATCAGAGACAATAGGTTATTCAGTATAACAACTGAAGCCAATTGCCTTGCATAATTACTTTTGGTAATATACCACTTGAAAAGATTCTACTCAAATGGGTTTTTGGCTCTTCTCTAAAAGGTTATGATATCTAAAAGGTCATGCTTAAAAAGAAAACCTGGTATCAGATCCTGGGATATAGGGCCCTATGTTGAATTGGTTGTGACTCCTATGAGATATTCACTGAAAAACTAAAGTGAAATGGGCTACAGTTTTTGCAGTTTGCAGTTCCACCTTGGCAATATCCCTCTTGAATTATGGTGCCCAGAACTGCCCTCAAGGGAGGGAAATGGAGAAACTCTTTTAAACGAAAGCCTGTGCCCCAAAGCGTTTCATTTCTTCATCATTCAGCAGTTGTGTTTTTATTTCTAAACGAATAGGATAGGCGTAGGAGAGTTGCACCCTACGTCTCAACTAAGCAGTTGTGCTACCAGTCACCGGAATTAGACTGCCTCAATCAGATTTTCATTGAGGTGGCTAGTTGCCAAGGAAAATAAACGTATTATACTTTGCTTCTACCTCAGGCAGGGTGTCCTAAAAGTATCTGTGGGTGCAGAAACTTGCCATTGAAAGTGATTACCCTATTAAAACAAAGCCAATCATCATTATCTGACCGTAAAGGTAAAGGTAAAGGTAGTCCCCTGACATTAAGTCCAGTCATGTCTGACTCTGGGGTGTGGTGCTCATCTCCATTTCTAAGCCGAAGAGCCAGCGTTGTCCGTAGACACCTCCAAGGTCATAT